AAGTGTAGAAAGAGTGAAATGGTTGGGCCTTGAGGTCTCATCCCTAATCCAATCTGAGTATTTACACTTATGTTTGTTTGTGTGTTTGTGTGTGTGTGTGTGTTTATTTCAGCATATTATGGGGATATATATGTTTAGGTTATGCTTTTATATGTTTATATTGTGAGTTTCTGAGTCCATTCATTTAAGCAGGGATCTACTTGTAAGAGGGAAAAAAAATGTTGAAAGACCTAATCTGGTCTCATGTCTGCCATCATATAAATGGATGAACCAATAAACGTTGGTTTTCCAGTGTCACACAAATAGCTAGTGGCACAGCTATCAATAGATATGAGATCATTTCTATTCTCACAAAATCATCTTTGCTTAACAAATAGACTTTGAGTCTGTTGTTCTTTGCTCAATGGCACATAGAGCTTATTTCATTTAAAAATAGATTATTTTCCTTAATCATTATTTAAAATAACTTGACCCTACTATCTCCTTTGTACCATTAGAAACCTGAGTTGGAACACAACCTCAAAATAAGTAAATGGAAATGAGATCATGGCTGGATATTATAATTATATTATATCAAAACCACATTTAGAGTTAATCTAGAGCTCCTCAAAAATAATAATGAAAAAGTAGTGTGTGAAGAGTACCTCTCTTCTCCTTTAATATACTTAATTTTAAAGGTGAAAGAGATATCATGAAGTACTTTAAATAACTATCACCTTTTAACATTATTTTATGTTTTATAAAACATAAAACTATCAATTTGGCAGGGATGCAGAGAAGTTACACTGCTATGTCCCAAGGGAGTTTGAATGTTTCCCCAGCTCTACTTACTTCCTGACCAGTAACAGAATAGATAAGTGAGAGATACAGAGGAAATAGTTTCATGAGAGGTAGTCATTATTGTTTTGTTTTTCTGTTCATTTAGGATTGAGAGGTCAAAGGTAGTCCTTTTTGAATGCTAGGAGGAAAATGATGATACAAGAGAAAGAAGAATTATCAATGAAACAAGTTCCTTGAGAATTTAGGAGAAGATATATAATAATACAGAATCTGTGTGGAGATGCCACTCCCCAGGAGCAAGAAAGAGTGTCCACATCTGTGAAGGCACTAACACTTCTATATCTCACTTCAGTGTACCATAAAACAAGTATTTTTATGAAATGACATTGAGGTATTCATATTTACCTCCACATTTATCCTATATCATCTCATATAATTTGTAAAATTTGTAATTCAAAACAATCTAGGGTTTTTAGACCTATCTCATAAATTTCTTCTTTATTTTTAATCCATATATACACCCCTTATTTACCACATGATGTTTTCTGTCTTAGTATTTAAAAGCAACATATGAAATTGTTTATAGAGTGAAACTTCAATATTATCAAGATGAATGTATTTTTAGAGTTTGTGTGACCATGGTAATTTACGTAGAGTAAGATAACTAGATATTTGAATTTTTTCCTGTATAACTCTCAATTGTTTTTTCAAATTTATAACAGAAAATATTGTTTTTATCATCAAAATTCTTTTAAAAAATCCAAATAAAAATATTCTTGGTTCTTTTTCTGAGTCTGCCATAAACTGCTTTGTAAATTTGGCTACAAAAAAAGTACCATTTTTTACATATTTCCTGTGTGTATTTAAAAAATAATTAAATAATCATTTTAAGTCTATTTCAAACTCTAAATGGTTCTGATTTTATGATACGATTGTTCTCATTTTGAATAAGTATCCTTATATAAATTGCTGATTATCTCCTTTATGCAATGTCATTAAAATTTTAAAATATTCATGGGCTTTATGAAGAGCCAAATACCAAGAGAAGGTGCTTCCACAGAAAGAAATCATTTGAAAAGCTCCAGGATGTATTTGAAATGAAGAATTATATATATTGATAAAAATGACAATAACCTGTCCTCAGTGAGAAAAAAAATTATTCAAAGGAAAATAAGATAATAAGTTTTCTATATACATTTACATGTTAGCTAAAACACAGGAAGATATCAAGCTACTAGAAATTTGGTTTTCTGAGCTACTTCTTTGCTAAATTGAAAATCATGGGCGACTGGCACCATTAATTCCAGGAGGGATAAAAATGTCAGGTTAAGTGATTGAGTGACAGAAAGAAGAATGTGGCCAGTAAGAATTCATGGCATAAAGTTAGCCTACCTCATGAAGCAATCTTAATAAGAACAGCCTGGATTTTAAAGAAACCTTCCTTTTGTTAAAGCAATTTGTATAAAAGAGCAAAATCTCATTGGTGTAACTTAATAAATGAATATTATTACCCTGTAAAGGAACTCTGGAATACAAGCTTTATGAGTCCCTGGGACTTTGTCTATTTGCTTTTCTGCTGTGCCCTTTGGTGCTTACAGCAGTGATTAGCACGTACATAGTGCTCAACAAATATTTGTTGAATGAATTGACATCCTGGACTCCTTTCTCCTATTAATGTAGACCAGAGTACTAACAAAATCTGATGCTCAAATGAGTGAGTTTAAATCAGCAATTACTCATTGCATGTCTAACACACAACAACAAAATTATCTGTCACTGTAGTGACCATATTTGCAAAACCAAAACTCAGGTTGCACCATCTGCAAACTACAAGTACCCTCATGAAGCCAACAGATCTGCATATCTGAAAATATAATCTTATCACAAAATTTAGAAATTAATTTTATATTGTAGAATGGGCATATAATTTCTAGTTAAATGGGTCACTATTGAAAATGAAAGAGGAAGCCAACAATAATTACTGCGGTACATCAGGTACAAACTAGAAATGTCCCTGGGGAATTGGAGTATATGGTCTCTCCATCAGAATCTATTTCTAGAGAAAGAATATGTTTCTACAGTGGTTAAAAACCCAGCCAGTCAACTCTAGAAAATCAATTAAATATCAGAAGTAAAAAATAACTAAAATAAGTTTCATAAAATTTTTAAAGAATCTAAAACCATCAGGGCCGGGAAGGAATGGCAAAGCTTAACTCCACGGCAAAATGAATAGTTTTTAAGAACTGAAAATCTCCATAGATCCCAGCATGCTACAATGATATCTAAGACTATCTCTGGTGATCTTTAATAGGATGATAAATAAAAAGGGGAACATGAATTATTAAAAGGAAACAATACTATAAGATATCCCAAAACAGAATGTGTAATTTTTTGCTTTTCTTTGGTACATAGTTTAACCAATAGGTACACGTGCAAGATACCATGGCAAAAATTAACTTAATCACCATCTTCATTATTGATACCATTGAAAATACATGGATGGAGCTTGAAAGAAGTAATAACAAATCTTAATAGATGAGATGAAATTATAAAAACATCATAAAATTATCACAAAGAAGTTCAAACATGATGCTAATTATAGTGTACAATTTTTTTACCCTAATAATACTTCCAACAATTAGTTGCACTATTTACTAATGATCTAAAAATCTGTATGCCTTTGAATATCCCTCTTCTGCAACCCTTTCTAATTATCTTTTCTAACCAAATATGTCAGGTTCTCTGACAGAGAGAGGAAGAGACAGAGATAGAGGGAAAGAGGGGGAAAGAGAGGGAAGGGATGAGGGAGGGAGTGAGAGAGAGAGGGAGAGAGAGTGAGAGAGAGGGAGAGAGAGAAAGAGAGAGAAAGGAGCTTATGTACTTCTTTTTAAAATATACCTATCTTTAGTCTCAGTCATTACCAGGTTAAAACAAGAAAGCAATCTTATTTAATTAATTCATATTCACAATCCCCTGAAATTAGTGGAACTAATGATGGTTTTGATTACAAATGTAAATAGAAGCAATCTTGTCATCCTCTGTTCTATAGAACACTAATACTAGAGTTTGTCTGCTCAGAGGCTAGCATTTTATTGAAATCCTATTGCTCTCATTGACATTTAAATACACACTTGAACAGGCTTTACAAAACCTACAGAAGAGAAAACCTAACATTATTCCACAGGTCCTCTTGTTTAGCGCACACAATTATCTTTGGTGGTAGTCACCACTACCCCCATTTTATAGTAAGAAAAGTGAGGCTTAGAGCAGCTACACTGGGTTCTAAGCCAGGTCTTCTAATTAGAATCTATTTGTTTCTTCTTGAGTATAATAGAGATTGTTAAAGGAAAGTCTATGCATATCAGGTATCAGATTCTTGACCATTAGGCATTTGAACTGTGGGTTATGCTTCTATAACAATGCCACTGATTAGGAACCTAGCTTCTGATTATCCTTGGGTATCATGGTCTCAAATATTAGTTCTAGTATACAGCTTGGCAAAAATTGGAAAGAGTGGTTTCATGTGTTTTTGTATATAACTTAGGACTTTTTTTTCCCTGATATATCCATCCAGTAAAGGAGGAAAAAGTAGAACCAATGGATTAAATATTATTAGTTGCCTGTAATTGTAAAATTATACCTACATCATTAAAATATCATACTTTCTTTTTCAACTTTTTAAATAAAACCAACATTTCATGGAATAAAACTGATGATTATCTTATAGCAATGGTTTTGATAACTTGCTCAAATAAAAGAAAAAGCTGACTGAAGAGGTGGTATGGAATTAATTCAAAAAGTATTACTATAGGCCGGGCGCTGTGGCTCACGCCTGTAATCCTAGCTCTTGGGAGGCCGAGGCGGGCGGATTGCTCAAGGTCAGGAGTTCAAAACCAGCCTGAGCAAGAGCGAGACCCCGTCTCTACTATAAATAGAAAGAAATTAATTGGCCAACTGATATATATATAAAAAAATTAGCCGGGCATGGTGGCGCATGCCTGTAGTCCCAGCTACTCGGGAGGCTGAGGCAGAAGGATCACTCAAGCCCAGGAGTTTGAGGTTGCTGTGAGCTAGCGAACCCCCCCGCCCTTTAGCCTAAGCAACAGAATAAAATTCTGTCCCAAAAAAAAAAAAAAAAAAAAAGTATTACTATAAGCACAAACACATCTCTGGTATAGCACTGAACTATACTGTATTGATATTTATTTAAATATATACACACAAATACTCCCCAACTACATTCTGTACTTTGAAGAACGGAGAACATGAATGTATATGTCTTTATATCACCATCCTTTGCAAAAATGCACAAAATCCTCAAAATCTTTTAAGGTAGGTACTACTGCACAGATAAAAAAACCAAGGTCACAGAGATGTCAGGTACCTTGTCCAAAGTTATGTGTCTACTAAGTAACGGAGTCTAGATTCAGGACCAGACATTTGTCCAGAGGTTCTGTGCTTCTAAACATGTCTCTACCACCCCATGGAATTAAGTGATCATTAAGTAGCAATTGACATAATTTTCCATATTATTATCTCTGGTTTTCATTGTATACAAATTAACATTCTGAAAATAAATACTTTAAGTCCTGTGCCTGTGTTGTACTTTCTCAATAAGTTCAGAAATCAGTGAAAGAAACTGCTACATTGACATTTATTCTTGCCTACGAAGAGGTAATTATTAGTAATATGAAAGTAAAGCTATCTTGGGAGAAGAAGAATTATCAGCTTCTAGCTGTAGCGGAGGATAATACAAGGCACAGGAAAAAACCACAATGTGAATCTGAAAACTGCTAATGAGGTCTTTACATCACTCCAATGGGCCTGGTGTCCCCCAAGCACAGAGATCACAGTCCTGCTGCACCCTGCATTCCTTAGTCCTTCCAAGGAGCACTGTCTGCAGTTCTAGGTGTCAGGATTACAGAAGAATCACAGATAAAGTGGAATAGAGTGGAGTCTCATTCATTGAGAATCTTGAGTTCAAAACTATTGCTTTTCTAGATTTTTCTGAGGAGATGGGACCATAAATTATGCAATAAAACTGAACACTTTAGCTCTAATTATCCATTAATATATATTAATATAGAGTATTTCCATAATTAACATCAATAACAGTCAAGATTGGAGCCACAGTTCATGAGAGGCTAGGCTTGTTGCCTACAAAGTTCTGGCATATGGTAAGTATACAACAAGTTTGAGAAAGAAATAGAAAATCAAGGAAGAAACTGTACAATGTTTTACCAGGGAAGGCACACTTCTGTTTTCTCCTTTGCTTTCCCAAAGTTCAGCTGATCTCTTAAATTCAACAGCTTGTCAACTAAACCCCTTAGTCCTAACCACTAGATAAAAACTAGACAATCCAGCATTAGGCATATGATTTATTACTACACAGTCAGTAACTGCAAGATTCTTCTCTCTTAACATCCCATCGATTGTAGTGTGTTGTAGACACAAGATTTGTAACCATGAGTGAGAAAGCTGAGCTACCTTAAATGTCTGAATTGTCAGGGTCTAAGGAGACTAAGTGACATTCTGCAACTGCCAAATCAATAAGCATTAATTTTCTCATAAAATAGGTGATATATTTAATAAGTAAAATATCTAGAGGAAAGAGGAAATGGAAACATTTAGTCTAATAATCATTTTTAGTAATTCAAACTTACAAAGACATTTTAATAATAGCATGACCTTACATTTATCTAGTACTTTACTGATAATGTATATTAGCCATTAATCCATATCCTTTTGTTCATCTTCTCAGATCAGATCAGTTACAGAGCAATGCCACTGTTCACTAACAATAAGACATATTAGCAACAATGCATGAAAATAGTAAGCCCTTATATATACTTGATACTACTCTTGATATTAATCGTGTTTTAAGAGTTAAGTAGAAAAAATGCCATAATATACACACATTTTCGGCCCCTTTCATCTATTCCTTTGCCATTTTACAAATAAGTGATTCTCAATTACAAACCTAATAGTTTTGTTGTATAAGCATAGGTCCCAATATTTATCCCTACTCTCCTAATTCAAGAGAGAATTTTGGAATAAGCATCATATGATTATGATATTAAAAAGTGTCAACAGAAGCAGGAATGTTTCATTTCTTCTGTCTTGTTTATCACTATTTTAGTAAGTTTAGAAAAGACAATATTATTCAGATACAAGTGGCTTTCAGTTATCATGTCTCAAATCATGATGTAAAGTAACATTTTTCTTTAAAACAATCCACTTTTCCTCTGTGACTCTCTGAACTCTTAAATATAATTTTCTAAACAGAAGATGCTGGAGATAGACTCCGATTTTTATTGTCTTTGATGAACATTTGTTAATAAGTTGGCACAATTTATCTCCTAGTATTTACAAGGTTTAAAATTCTATTTTTAAACACTGAGCTAGATGAGACTACCTCATCTTTAAGATAACTGGAGGCTTCAGCAAAATAAAAATAGTCAAGAATAACAGCACAATTCATTAGTTTAAAAAAATTCAAACTGACAGTATTCAAATTTATTTAACCAATCATATCATTAAGATTCAATGTTTGTGTAAGTTGAATTCAAAGCTACCACAAAATGCACCCAGATGTCAGGTTTCCATTTTTACATCACCAAAACCAAAATTATTTTTAAAGAATACTAATGTAAATAATTATTTATTAGTATCTGATTGCATTATTATAGTATAGTGGAAAAAATACAGACCAATAATACCCAGCCTCCTCTCTTCCCCCTTGTAATATGGGAGAATTCTACACACAGTATTATATTACATAAGTTTCTGAATATAATTTACATTAATACTATAAAATTGCATAATCCTATCTGGCTGATTTTAAAAGTGAACATTATTTGGTAGAGTGAAAAAATATTATTGAACCAATCTTCCTGAATTCAATCTTCCTGAATACCAGTTTCAGCTGTCCCAGGAACTTGAAAGTACGTACTTTTGGCAGGATACTTTTCCTCTCTAAGACTTACAAAATATAGACTTAAGCTGATTTTAAGCTCTAAAATTTCTATTTTTCCAGATATAAATGCAAAGATGTGTATATTTTCTAATTATTTCATTTCTTCCTCATAACACAGAGGGGTGAAGAGTTTGAATAGATTTTTTAAAATCTAGAAACAATTTGCAAACATTAACAAGAATATCATTGTTTGCCAAGAAATTAATCTTCACTTAGCAGCAGCATAGTAGCCAAAAGTATAAACTTAGATTAAGTAACATAATAATATTTTGTCATTAATATTTTGTCAATAATATTTTGTCATTCTGTTATCAGATTATATCAAAAATATCTAGAAATATACTTAAAATATTATTATACTAGTTTACAGATTAAAAATACATATATCAGTTCTAACACTGACACAGGATTCCACGTTTCCTGATTTATTATGTTTTGTAGAGCATTTCAACATTCAACATCAATTGCTTACCTCTTCCAAGTAATTAATTCTTCCATATCATTAACAGTAAAACTGGATACTATAATTTGCTTATCACAGCTGCTTTAACCTACATAAATTTCACTTTTTAAGTTTTAAACCACAAACTAAGTTAGCTTAATTCCATATTTGATAAACAAAATGAATTACATTTCCCTATAACTGGTTATTTAAGAAAAATAATGTAGGGACCATTTATTCTGAGCTTTATTATGAAGGGTCAGGGAAATGAGAGGCTTAACATGGACAAGGTAAAGCTGACATCAACTGGTACATGGTGGTAACAGTTGACAACAATAATAGTAATCCCAGGAATTTGTATAAACCTCCCTCTGCGATTTATAATGTACTTATAGCTCATTAATTAAAGCACAGATTTGAAACTTAAGAGCATAATTCATTATTCTTAGTGCTGAGATGGAGGATGAATTCAATGTGGTCTCTGTCCCCAAGGGGCTTTCAGTCTAGTGGCAAAGATATGCACACATGCAGCCCTACGGCAATATTAGCTGCCACACGTGTAATAGTGGAGGTGCAAAAAGGGTGGGGAAGTGAGAAATTCTGGCTACGATGATTTGGAAAGATTTCCCAGAAGAAGGCACATTTAACCTGGTCTTTGAAGCAAAGAAGGATTTCAACTGTTAAAAATTGGAAGGGCATTCCACACAAAGAGAACATCTCTACACCAGCAGTGCATTTAATTTTCGCATGTAGGAAAAACAGAGAGAAATTAAATGATTCGATCAAGGTCATAACAAGAGAAAGGATCAGAGGCATTGCTAGAATTTTGAACTGCCAGGTCAAAATGGTTCCTGCTGTGTCACATTGCTTCCTTCCCCAGGTGAGACAATTTCTCTGCTTTCACAACCATCTCCGCCCCCCATTTATTCCTTCCTGTTGCCACGCCCTTTACAGAACCTTGCTAGGACGTCAAAGGCAGCCACATCTTCATAAAACACATTACATTTCAGCTGTGCCTAAAAATCAAATGAACACATGTAGGTGTATTTCTGGCCCCCTTTCCTAACCATTCTCCATCATTTCTAAGGAATGGGAGTTTGCGCTGTCGCCACATGGCATGCTCAATAAAATTTTGATCCATTCCTTTAAACCTTCCATTTTTCTACTTCAGTTTGTCAAGTGTTCTCAATTCCAAGAAATCGTAATTCATAATGTGGGGGAGGTTGCAGATTTTTGGCTCAGGAAGTTGTGCAGATGTTATTCCTTAAGGAAGACGACCGTGATTGCCTATGTGAGTAATGGCTGCGAGTCGGCTAGGAGCCAAAAGTTCTCTTATACTAGAATGTACAAACCATTCTCCTACTGAAAGAAGGCCCCCAGTAGGATAATATATTATTACACATGATTCAAATTACAAGATCTGCAGCAGGGGAGCTCATGACTGATTCAGGACAGTCGCCCCCTGAATACTGATGATGGGATGATGGAATGCCTCATGAATTAAAAGGGCCGTGGTTTCTCATCTAAATCCTTCATATGCTTTAAAAAGTGACTGTGCCTATCATTGCATGCTCTAAGCCTCTTAAATGAATCATGCACTGTTATGAAACCTTTGTCTGTGTTTTAAAATTCCATGTCTTTGAATAATTATATTCAAAACATTCTTTTTAAAAAAAGACAATGAAACTTCACCTTCTCTGCTTAAAACATGGTGTGCCTTTAATGCCAATATGCAATAAATATATGACTTAATAGAAATTTCATTGAAGTATGACCCAGTTTTGCTCTTAGGGATTCTAGAAGGCAACCTGAAATCTTCACAAACCACATGGTCCAGCCTCTTAAGTTATCTATAGAAAAAAAAATTACTTTATCCCTGACAAACGAAATACAAATGTACAAGACAAAATTGTGTTACCAAAGCTTTTCTGCAGATAAATGAACTCATTCATGAATATTATTTGATTTGGTCTACTTTGCTTATATAGCAATCCCATAAATTTGCTAAATGTATTACATTACAAATTAAGATCAGGAATTTTTATAGAAACACTAAGGCAGATGTTAAATATTACACATTCTGAGAAACAAACTGCTTTGCTGAAATATATTCTGAAATAATATGTAAGCTGGTCCCTTAACTTCTTTTCAAGCTGGTTCTTGTATTCAGTTTTTCTAGTAAATGGATGCAAATCAGGTGCATTGTGCTGCGATGGGAAGGGGGAGATTTGTCCAGAAATGACCTCAGTTCTATTCATTAATAAAATGATTATGTTGGCTGAGAGCAGTGGAGAATGAAATATAACAAGAGTAGAACTTTCCTCCTTGTGACAGATGCACATAAGCACTTTTTGGATAAAGCAGCGTATGTAAAATGGCCACTGCAGCATAAAATCTGAAAACATTAAAGGAAACTCTTAGATACAAATTGCTTGGAAAAACTGCAACTTCCATAGCAATGCACCCCCTATTCTCTATTACCTCGTACAATTCTGAATCCAGACTTGGAGAAAGCATGTATTCATTCATAAGAAGGGGGATCAGGTAAAATAAACAAAGATTTAATTTTTTCTAAGATTTTTTCCTAAGAAAGAAGATAATTGCGCAAGGTCAAAACGAAATGGAATTGTACCCAGAATCACTTTCAGTGATAGCAGACACCAATGGGGGAAAAAAGGCAAAAGCTATCAGAGAGAATGTAGCCACATTTTTGCATAGCGGTTTAAATTATGCCGGCAGAATAATTAATGGAAGGACCTAATATGGAAAGAGGGGGGTAACAGGAAAGGGGGAAGGCTATGTTAAACAAAGTTCATTACTGCATGATGTAAATGAGTTTCTCACCAGTGATGTCACTGATTGGCTGAGCTGCAGAGCTGGCTTCGAGCATGGCCGGATTGGCTGCTAGCTCTTCTGGTGCCTGCCTGCTTGGGCAGCGGTTGAACCAGATACTTTCTGTCTCTCTTGTTGTCGTTTGAAGCAAATCTTGTTCAGCCCAGCTGTGTCTCCATAGTAGTGGCACCCTAAGAGAGAGTCTCTCTCCTGCTTCCCACAGCTCGTCTGTGAGGCGGTCGCTGCTGTGAAATACCAGCCCTTGGCACCAAGCCCAGACAGCGTTCTCAGATCCATCTATAACACACACATACAAAAAGAAAAATAGAAAAAAAAGCAGTTCTTTCATCTGAATTGCATCCTAAGGAGGATTAAGAAGGCTTCTATTGCTACTGATTTGTGTTCTTTCAATTTGATGGTTAAAATAGTTTTTGAAATACAGTATCTTCTCATCTGCAGTAGAATGCCATTGGTTAAAATTGGTTAAAAAGATGGGGGAACCCCCCTCTCCCATGTTTACCTTGATTACAGAAAAATAATTCTTCATTTTCCTCCTAAGCACCGTAACTGATGTTTTTGGTCCCCTACTAGAATTTTAAACTCTCACCAGATTTCTAATTACAGCCGAGTCATTATTTTCAGTTTAAGACAAGGGATCTTAATTAGCATTCTTTTTTAGCTATGCAAAATGAGACAGGGCATGAAACAGAAACGATCTATGGAGAGGCAGAGAGAGAGAAAGAAAAAAATCTGTGCAGCTTTTACAGTTGAGCTGACACCCCCTCCTTCCCCGCTCTCCCTCCACCCCCCTTGCAAAAAAGAATGCAGTCATATGAACTTTACCAGACAATGGAGTACCTACAGGCTCTCCCCTAGACAAGTCCTTTATAACCAGCCAGTGCTATGTGCTGCAGACAGTGGCCAATCGGCAGGCTCCTTTCTGCAGCAGGGACACAATAGGTGCATTGGCCACACTGTCCTCCTAGACCCTGACGGCAGTTCAGGTTCATTTATTGTACACTGGAAGGCACATATGTCTTTAATATTCACTGTGAAATTATCAGTGTGACTGCCTTTATTTCACCGTAATTACATCAACCTAATTACCGCGCACAAGCTGCAATAGCACTGTTTGCTCAGAATGGCGCATAGGCATGCATGCCGTAAAAATATGCATGAACATGCTTGCTTATTTCAATAATAAAATCCACCAATTATTTCCTTCCCAGAGCTTAATGCTTCCTCCAGAATGATTCAGTGGATACAGCCATCATTTTTCCCTTTCAAAAGAAAAAAGTGTGTGTGTGTGTGTGTTTGCGTGTGTGTATGTACTATATACATAATTTAAACATTATTCTAGCCATTAATTGGGGTGAGCTTTGGAGGTGGAGCCAAGTCAGCAAATAAAAGGTTATTAAGGACCTAAGGCATTTTCCCCATATCACTAGGCATCAGATTGAAGGAATAAGTGAAGCTGCACGCATCACTATAGCCGTGCCTACATGCCGATTTATTCAGAGTCCAACTATCATGAGTATCTGCATATGCCTCATTTATGTATTTTCATATTACATAATTATATCATGCCTTGCAACACCGACTCAAAATGCTTGAAAAATTAAATTTTCGCTTTTTGTGTATTAGATAAACAGTGTTAGGCACAGTCTGTGGTGGAAACTGCCTACTAATTTTTTTTTTTTTTATGCTTGTTGCATTTACATATTCATGAACAGCATAGCTGTTATGACCGCTGATTCTGCAGCAGGAGCTCAAATGGCACGATCCAGCATACAGATGTACTAATTTCTAGGGGGAGAATGGCAGCATATGATGACCAGGAAGAGTAGATGTTCGGGGGTTTCATTTGGGGTTACCTCATTGTCTGATAAAGGACATGAGTAGAAAACCTACCAAAAAATGTGTAAGTATAATAAGCTTGAAAGGGAAAGACCATTTGTATTGTTCATCCACATTGTAAGAAAATAAGCATTTGAAATGGAGACTTTTGGCTCAGGTCTTTGCAGGTAAAATTGCATTTGTTTTACAGCTACTTAGAATATCACCAGAATGGGATGTGCTCAGAAGCTCTGCATTTTTTTCATTATGTCATAATTTACATATTTCTTATTCCAAATCAGAATGCTAAGCTTTAAGCTTTGATTATTTCATTAGGTAGAATTTCACCAATGTTTGCCTATATTTATTGATGTATTTTGATTTTTTGCTCATGATTCTCTAATCAGGAATGGAATCCATCATTACAGGAGGCACATTAGGAGAAATAGCAACTCATTTATATCCACATGGATACATGTGTATAACATATAATGTACCCATACTGGAGAGAAAGAATCACAATGGTTTTATAATAAATTTATATTGTATAGTCCTCTGTTTTTAAATGTATATAAGATTTGTATCATAAAATATATTCAAGTTGATTTTGAATTTCATAAGCATTTTAAAAGAAAAGCACAAACAGCTCATTTATCTATACTTTCCAAAAATCAAGTTTTGGTAAGAGGAATAGAGGGACAAATTCCTAACTAGGCTAAGAGATCACAAGTTTCAATCACAGTAACACAAATAATATAAGAAAATGCTACATTTTTATTCTTGAACTACTATACACATTGAAATCAAAACACCTGAAATTAGTTACTTGATATATAATGTAAGACGCTTCTTCTTTAAGTGATTACAGAAAATATTCAGAAAAACTAAACTCAAGCACCTATTTGACTTGCCTTTTTGATGATTTTCCTATCAAAGGCCAGTTTTCCTAAATCTTCATATGAATCAAGAAAACTTACTAGTAATCAAATTAAATTAGATAGACCTCATCCCTCTCCCTGCCTCTCTCAGTCGCACACATAAACACACGTGTGTGTATATATATATATATATATATATATATATACACACACACACACACACATATATAATTGTGGCAGTCTCCTTTTTGAAAGCATGTGCAACTCTTCTGCCCAGCAATCTCAATTCTTTGATCTGACATTGCACATAAAAACTTTAAAAAATCAAAGAGGTCATACATAATTGCTAGTTATCTATTTTACTAAGTAAAAATCAAGAAGCAGATCAAACTCACATAATATTACATAGATTCCACTAACACATAGAATGTGCTTGGAAACCTTACTGTTATTCAAAGGATTTTTTCAAATATATTAATTTCGTAAACAAGGTTAGTGGATGGTCCATATCTGACCTCTTTAACCAAATAAGTATTTGTAAATAAAAAAACAACAAAAAAATAAGGACGCCTTTCCTTATGTAGCACGATTAATTAAACCTGGCAAGTTAGGTGTCCTACTTAGAAACACTCTGTCATTGTTTGAGTAGTTAGATATACCTGAAAACAACATTGTATTTTTTTCCAGTATTTTAGTATTCGTATTTACTATTCCTCTCATACCACAGACACAAATTGCAATTGTGAGATTTTAATATACTACTATAATCTGAAATAATTTTGCAATAAAATCTTATTTACAAATCTTATCATTTCACTAGGGAAGTGAGGCTTGAGGTATACTAGAAATTTAAACCATCAATTTTAGATATGACATCCCCCCAAAATAAGTAGTTAATGTACTAGTAACTAGTTAATGTACTTCTACCCATCATGCTGCCATCCTTTATTAAAAATACAGCTCTGACCTGATGTCATGATAGTCGTAATTGGTTGAGTTTCACTATAGATAAGGTATTTATGGCCTCATCTCATAAAATCAAAGACATGGATTTATATGATAATTGTATGAAGAGATCAGGTGCAGGTCTGAGGGAAGGGTGCCAGAAACTTTGGTAGATTCCATGAGAAGAAGTTGTGGAGCAGAATAGAAAGGAGCAAGGTATCAGCAGAGATCAACCCCTGAGAGGCTTGGAGTCCATGAGAAGGGTAGGTGGAGTGGTTTGTCTTTCCCTTCCTTGCATATCTGACAGTTGGCAGGTTCCCAAGCTGCTAGAGAGACTTTCTGCCCACATGAGCCCAGAGGCTACTTCCGCCAGTGAACTGAGAGCTTCATGTGGACAGGGCACCAGGCTCCCAGCCCCACTGGGGTGCCACCCATCTCCACAGACATGAGGCAGGACAGCAAGTGAAACATTGCTTCTCTAACCACTATCTACCTTTGTCCTTCCCAGGAGGCTTTAATTCCTCAGGTTTCATCTTGCTCACCTCCACACAGACATTTCTCAACTCTGGCCCAGACTTCAGGAGTCACAGGGGTTCAGTGGGTCCTGGGTGATCTGCGTGACTCAAGTGGCCAGACATTCTGGGTGGGCAGCCTCCCAAAGTGAAGGACAGACATAACCAGAGTGCTAGCTTTCCTTCATTCAGACTGTTTTTTTTTTCTTTTCCCCTCCCCCACCTATGGCTGCCAAGAGAGATAATTGAGTGATGACACTGGGGCTTCCACAGTATGGGGCTCAGACCTTTCCTCTTGGGGTTCTGCAGTGAACTGAGGGGTGCTTGGACTGTGAACTCCTTGCTCACTTGGCCCTCCCTGGTGCTGCCTACCCAGTGTATCCATCAGAAAATGGCACACTCCAAGGTGGAGCAACATCAAACCTGCTTGGGCACCCCATGGGCAACTCAGGACAAGCATGCTTCTCCTTGGCATGGTCAGGGATTGATCTTTGGGGACCTAGGGATGGACGGGCAGGACAGATCCCACCCTCAGGTCTTGATTGCATTGCTCAGGGTCAAGAAGAGGAGATTTGTGAATTGGTCTCAGGAGTCAAGGAGTTCATGTGGGCAGACCATGGGGAGAGAAAGAATACAGTGTGGGTCCTAGCTGCAGTGTGCTCATGGGGCACCCCTCCCTGCACAGGAGGTATGTGCTCTCACCTCAGGCCAGGATCCTGGGCAGAGAACTTCCCAGCCTGTATCACAGTCATGGGGGAGCTCAGCTGGATTGAGTTCCTGCTTGACGGCAGATGCCAGGTAGAACTATGGAGCAGCAGAGGGTGGAAAGCAAAAAGGCCTGCTCTAGACTGCCAGACTGTGAATCTCAGATGGCCATGCCTCCACAAACAACTTACTGAATGGGTGATACCACTTCAGCCCTTCCATGGCAGCTTTGCCCAGAAGCTGGGAGCAGACATTTAACCCCTGATAAAATAGCTACTTTGCCAGCTTTTCTAGAGTCTGACGGCAGGCTCACCAAACCCATCCTGCCCAGCCACACCTGCCTCCCCCACCTGCCTCTGCTATGGCAGAGAATAAGGAGTCACCTGAAGTTCAAGGGCCCCATCCATCACCTGGAGCAATT